CTGTCGCGCTCCTTTCTTCAACTCTCTGCTCGCTCGTGTGCGAACCAGACAGCCGTGTGTCTGGCGGCGCGCCGTCCACGCCGCGCCGTATAACACGATTCTCGTCGGAGTGACTCGCGGTAACGACGACAGTCAGCCGATCGAGCGGATTATCACGATACCATTCCAAATAATAAAATAAAACTAGAACGTTAGAATATTATAGAAAAAGGAAGAAGTAGATTCATAAGTCACATACACACACACACATATATATATATATACACATATATATATATATATATAAAATCGCGTGTATGCTGTGCCATACGAATTCACCGCGAACGTCGACCCATAGTGATCGTGCCGATGGGAGATTAATTTTGGTGCGCGGTGAAGTTCGCTCCGGATCTACACGCCGCAGAAACGATTAAGGGATCGAGCGATTCGTCTCGATCGTTTTTCCTCGACCGTCATGGGAGACGAGTTACCCATATTGAAAGGAATCCTGAACGGAGTTGTCAACTATCATAATGCACGTACGTGTTCCACAGAGTGTTCGTTCAATAATTTTTTTTTTTTTTTTTTTTTCTTCGTTCGCCGAAAAATAATAATCGTCGTCGCTCGTTTCCCTTTCACGGACCCTCCACACCGTGTCGCTCTCGTGACTTTCTAACGGAGGAAGGATTCGTAGCACGAGGCCAAGGCAACCGCCACTTTCGTTTCTCGCCGCGCGAGAAAGTCGTGCGCTTTCCCCTCTCGATTTTTTCTTTCTTTCTTTTTTTCTTTTTTTTTTTTTTTTTTCATCCTCGATCGTGTGCATCGAAATCGTATCCCCAATTCCCAAATATACACGTGCTCGGATCAATCGTGGTGATTAACGACGATTAAGAAGAAGAAGAAAAAAATGTCATCGTATGAATCAATAGTGTTTCATTATTGTTAACGAGATATTAATATATAACGAGGAAATGGGAGGGTGTTTCGCGGAATGACACGTATCAGTTTTCCTCGTAACTCGTAAGCGCTAGAAGCGCTCGAAGGTCGCGGGACGCAGCTCGACACGCCGTGTCCGTTGCATGATTCATCCATTGATCGCATTAACTATTCATCGACGTGTCCTTCCTTCTGCTTACCACTGACCACCGAACGAACCGCGTCGCCTCTCTCTCTCACTCTTTCTCTTCGTCTCTCTCTTCCCGTCTGTCTAATCGTTGGCCATCCGTGTTGTTTCTGCTTATAGCGGTACGATTCGGCCGTGTGCCCAAACGTGAGAAGGCCAGGATTCTGGCTGCTATGCAGCAAAGCTCCCACAGCCGATCTCAAGAGAAGGCAGTAGCGGCCGAACTGGAGGACGAGCAACGGCTTCTGGCCACCGTTGTGCAAGCCCACCTCGACACATGCGACTTTACCAGGGACAAGGTGGCACCGATCCTGGTCAGAGCTCGAGAAACGCCTAACTATACCGCCTGTCCGCCAACCTTGGTGAGTATATACCACGTTCGTAAACTCGTCTTCTTCTA